GGAATACCAGTTACAGGGAAATCACCTTTGGGAAAATGGTTGCGCATTGCTCGTTGCCGGTCACTATTTTGCGGAAGAACGCTTTTACCGGCAAGGCCGCCGGATCATGGAGCAGGCATTGGAAGAACAATTGTTCCGGGATGGCGGGCATGTGGAAGGCAGCCCGATGTACCACTGCCTGTTGCTGGGCCGCCTGCTGCAATGCGTAGAGCTGATACAACAATCAACCCATTTTAAAGACGAAACGTTCTTCCACAAACTAACAGGCGCAGCCACACGAATGCTGGGCTGGCTGCAGGCGATGACCTTCAGCAATGGCAGCTACGCGATGGTTAATGACAGTACCGGGCGTATGGCCCCTGAGTATCAGCTGTTGGCGGATTATGCCACCCGGCTTTCCATCCCGAAACCCATCGCGCCTTTCTTATCAGATAGCGGCTATCGTTTGATCAGGAATGACGATTATGAACTTTTTGTAGATGTTTCCGCAATTAAACCTGCCTACCAACCCGGGCACACACATGCAGATACACTCTCCTTTTGTCTTTTTGCCGGAGGGCGGGAGATCATTGTAGATCCGGGCAGCAGTACTTATTCCGATCCGGACATCAGGCAATGGGAAAGAAGTACCCTTGCACATAATACAATAATTTTAGAAGGTAAAAATTCTTCAGATGTATGGAAAAGCTTCCGGGTGGGGCAACGGGCCAACATTACTTTCCTGGAAGAAACCGCAAATAGCCTGACTGCGAAACATGATGGATACACAAATCTGGGGATTACTCACTGCCGTTCATTTAAGTTTCTGAAAAATAAAATTATTATAGAAGATACACTGGAGGGTATGAATGAAGAAAATGCTTTATTATGTTTGCACTTTAACACCGGGATTACGGTAAGAAAATTGGCACCGTTTCAGTATTTGGCAGGAAATTTGCTACTAAACATTGAAAATGCTAAAAAGGCATTGATAATGCCTTACAATTATGCAGCTGCATTTAATAGGACAATGGAAGCCAGTAAACTTTGCATTGACTTAAATGATGCTACAAAAATAACTTTAGAATTGTTACATGCTGATTGATATAATAGCCGGTGCGCGGCCAAATTTCATGAAGATTGCCCCTATTATTGAAGCGATTCATGAAGAACAGCGTATTGGTACCCCACTTCATTACCGGCTCATACATACAGGACAACATAGCGATAAGCGTATGAGCGCTGCCTTTTTTG